TGGGCGCTGTCCCTCAGCTCTTCAGCTCAAGGCTAGCGCTCTACCACTTGAGCCACAGCGCCACTTCTGGCTTTTTTCTTTTTGCTTATGTGATGCTGAGGAATCGAACCCAGGGCCTCAGGCATGCAAGGCAAGCGCTCTACCACTGAGCCACCTTCCCAGCCCCTCATTTATAAGATTATTTTCATGGCATAAAATAACCCATGTACAAAAAATGTGTAAGTCTACCATTTAAGCAATGCCTATTATTTTTCTGGTTAACGAAAGATGGAGTTTTTCAGACTTTTCTTACTAGGCTTGTTTTGAACTGTGATCCACCAGTTCTGACTCTCCTGAGTAGTTCAGATGACAGGCATGAGCCACCATGTGAAAGTTTATTTTTTTTTCTTTAAAGTCTAATTTAATTTTATTATTTAGTAGTTGTACAAAGAGGTTATCATTCTATGTCAGGTTATGAGTACAATGCTTCTTGATCAATGTCACCCCACCTATTGTTCCTCCCTATTTTCCACCAATCCCGACCCTCACGTTATGTAGTTCAATTTTTACATAATGTACTTAAAATTTTCAACACAACCATAAAGTATTACTATAGTTTTCCAATTTGTGATTACTTAATATAAAAAACAATCCACTAGGTCTCAGCCTCCTGACTCTGACTCCACTCTTTTCTCAAATTCTTCCCTTACCAACACAAGCTAGTATGAACCTAGTTACCTGGTATAATATAGCCTTTTGGTTTTAAAAAGTCATGTTAGGAAATGGCACTGTGGCTCAAAATGGTAAAGTGCTAGCCTTGAGCAAAAGAACTCATGGATAGTACCCAGGCCCTGAGTTAAGCCCCACAACTTACAAAAAAGTCACATTAACCAATTCTCCACTTCTAAGCAGCATTAAATATATCAGCCATCTTGAATAATCACTAATACTCAGTATATCCAAACTGTCATCATTCCAAACTGAAACTCTGTGCTCATTAAACTAACTCTCCCTTCCCTCTCATACTTGGGCAACTGTATGTGCCTTCTGTTTGAGTGTGACTACTCTAGGTACCTTGGAATACTAATCTCTATGTGACCGCTTTATAACAGCACACATTTTCTCTTCTTTCTTTTTAAAACTTTTATTGTAAAGGTGATGTACAAGAGGAGTTCCAGTTTTTTGGTGATTAATTGGAGATATGTTTCAGACTCTTCTGGTTTTCAATCTTTAAGCCTCCTGAGTAGCTAGGATTACAGGTGTGAGCCACTAGTCCCTGGTTATGCTTTACTTTTTTTGTGTGTATGTGCGTCCGTCATGGGGATTGAACTCTGGGCCTGGGCGCTGTCCCTGAGCTCTTCAGCTCAAGACTAATGCTCTACCACTTTGAGCTACAGCACCACTTCCGGTTTTCTGGTGATTAATTGGATATAAGAGGTTCATGGACTTTCCTGTCTCAGCTGGCTTTGAATTGTGATCCTTAGATCTCAGCCTCCTGAGTAGCTAAGATTACAAGGTATGAGCCAACACCCTGATTTTTGCTTTTTTTTTTTTTGTATTTGTTTTTCTGCTTATGTGGTGCTGAGGAATCAAACCCAGGGCCTCATGCATGCAAGGCAAGTACTCTACCACTGAGCCACCTTC